TGATTCAAGCTACTTGTGTGCCAACAGACTTTTCTTTTGAAGCACCACTTAGATACTATTCAGATGTGACCATGAACAAGGTTAAGCTGCACTACTACACTAACCAATTATGATGTTTTTAAGTCTGCTAACAAGAAAAAAGAAGTATTTACTACAGCTCTATGCCATCATTTCCTCACACTCAAAAGTTTTCTGAGATGTTTTAAAACAAAAGAAGTTAAAAAAGTACTCAAGCAAAGAAGTAGTGAAGCTCTTTGGCTAACTTCTCTGTCTTTAAAACAGACATACCACAAGGTTCAGAATTCAGGAGCCTTTCGGCTCCTAAAATTAGTAGGTGGTTTTCAAAACCCAGCATTTCCATTGCTGAGCAGGCAGAAACATAGCGCTTACATGCTTAGTTACTGGCTCATTTTCTTTGGAAACCAAGAACAGGCTGGACAAAAGTTTAATAAATGAGTGGAGAATTTGGTGCTAATAGAAAATGAGACTGGAAAACCTCAAGCAAACAACGCCCAGTTACCCAAAAAACAAGCACACGAGGATCAGAAAGCAAATCTCCCATCGCCGTCTGTCTCCATACCCCACCCTGATGTGGGTTCCCAAGAACTCTTCCCCCTAATTTTGCCATTGTGGGTCAGATCTACCAAAAAGCCTAAACTCCTAAATGACAGCCTTGACATGCTGCAGAAAATCCTATAGAACATGTATAAATTCTCCACACAATGCCCAAGAAGTTTTTGTGTTCTGCTACTGCACTGACCACAGAGCTGTCGACAGGCTACACCTTTTACCCAGATATACTCAGTAGGAAGCCATAGAGATTGCTCTGGGTGCCTCACTTTACACAAACACTGAAAAAACAGCAAAGAACTTGGGGCCAGGTGAGAATCGTCCACCTCAACAGTGAGTATGCATCAGTTTGCATGACAAGCATAGCCTTGATCATAAATTAAAACAGCTATGGGAATTCCATGTACTGCCAGGGAAAATGGTTAATTAAGCTCCATTATCCAGGCTATGAAGGACTAAAGGTATAATTTATCCTCCTCTCCCAGCCTTTCCAATCACCTGCCTTTCAGGCATGCCAGTTGGGAAGATGATTCCAATGAGGCAGATACTCATCTTCAGATACATCCCCATGGCTGAATCAACTCATTTCAAACAGACTCCTGCACAATGTACAGGAACAAGTTTCATGGCACTTGAACCACGGGAAGGGAAGACGCTCCAAAGCCTCCAGTATGAGCTGTCAGAGCTCCTGGATTCCCTGTTCCCCACTGCTCAGCCAGCAGCTCTCTGCTGATTCAGCATCCATGCCCACAAATGAGAAACAGACATCAAATTTTAGCAAGTTATGCTTCTCAACTGCTAACTGAAAATTAGTTAAGATACATTGCATGGTCTTAGGTCAGAACACTCCTTGAAAGACTGGGAATACAGCTCGACAGAAAAAAAAAATAAGAAAACTGAGTTTGTGCTAAAGCCCCATCTCAACTTCAAACAACTTTAGATCAGATCTAGGGAGTAGAAGTCCTAGAGACCTTATGCAGTCCTTTAAAGTAACTTGCTAAGCCACAAAGGTTGACTCTAGAAAGTCACAGTTATCTTTCATCTGGCACCTTTACAGTTGTCAGGCAACACGGTAATGATATGTTTAAAAGAAACAATTAGTGGGGAAAATCTATGACACCCAATTTATGCTTTGCAGCAGAAAGGTGAGCCTTTTCATCTCAGCTCTCTGAGTTACACCAACTTTCAACTTCTGGAGGCATCTTGGTGGCTTAACCACGTCTTGAGACCCTCAAATGAAGTCACAGGTGCCTTCCAGGAAAGGATCCTTGGCTAAATGCAGGCTGCACTTTGGTGTAACAAATTGCTGGATGCACATGAACAAAGCACGGTTAACTTGTGACACACAGATCAGACTACAGCTTTTCTTGACTCTTCCTGGTCTTAAATGTTTCACATTTTACTTTCAGCATACTAAAAATAAAAACAAGGCTACTAGGGTCTCCATCCAATGAAATAGGTCTAATATGGGGAAGAAAAAGCAACAGCCAGTTGAATTCTGAACAGTGAATTCTGGAGTTTTGCAGTGACACTGTGTGCACAAATTTAAAATTACCAGACCAATTTGAGGATATAAACGGTCCTCATGCAAATGATGTCAGCTGCTGTGCCCACACACTGTGTCCGCAGCAGAACTCTTTGGGTGAGGGTGTTCACCATTCCCAAGCAAAGGCAGGGCTGAATAACCCAACTGCTGGAGAACCACTGCCCAAACTGAAAAATGAACACATGGCTTCTCACTGTACATGTGTCTAGGTCCAGAATAATTCCAGTAAGAGGCCCAGCTGTAACAACAAAGAGAAAGGACACCGGGTATTTATCAGGAAACTTTCACTATCTCAGTTCTGAGCAGCTATTCTATTTCCATCCAGCAGGTAAATAGCTACTGCAGCTTTGTCCATCCTGGATTTTCAGGGCTTTCCACTGTCAGCAAGAACAGAAATCTGTGAAAGAAGCAGCCACTGACATTCAAGTAAGAAAGCATCTAAAAACCCAAATCCCTGGTTGGCATGAGCACTCCCAATGTAATCACTGTTAATTCCTGGGCCAGTGACAACAGTGGTTGAGTCTGATGAAGACTTGTGCAAGCAGAGCTGAAGCATCTGTTAAGCCTGTGATCTTATTCCACACAAAACTTTCTGGCTACTAGGAAGAAGTGGTTTCTATTACTTCTCTGAGCTTCCCACACAGCAACAACCCACATCTTCATTACCTGCATCCAACCCCCCAGCGGTGCTGGTTCCCTGCTACCTCAAACATCAGCAGAGTACAGCTAATACTACTTGTTACTCCTTAGGTTTTTCTGGCCAGTCATCCAAAAATCTCTCCACAATCTTGTCAACTTGCTTTGCTGTTGCTGCCTAGGAAAATCTCTGCAACCGCTCGCGTTTGGCCGGTTTTCCCCACGGCCATATGGTCCCAACGCCTCTCCCGCCTCTCCTCTGCTCACCATGAAAGCTTAACTTGTAATTCGGCAAAAACGAGAAGCCCGCATCCCCCTGTGCACGGCTGCTCTGTGGGTTTTTCCAAGAGCTGTAATGAGGAATGTTAAACAAACACCTTTAATTAAAGGAATGTTTGTTTAGTGTAATTAAATGCCTAAGGAACACCGCACTGTTGCAACCCCGGATAGTTTTGCAGTGCGTGCTGTACCTTGCGATACTCGAGTGAGAGGGAAATAATGCAAGCGACAACCTAGCAGTAAACTCCCAAATATTAAGCAGCGTCCAAGCCATGCTACCCGTTTACCAACGCCTACGTGTCAAGAGGAACCAGCACTCCTGTATCAGCTGGAACAGGGCAAAAACTTGAGAAACTCAGTTACAAAAATCCTGAAAAATAAAGAGGAATAAAACCCCAGCCCCAAACTCACAGCGTTTCTAGTCCCATTTCCTGTACTCTCTTCAACTACCTTTCTATCCGAGCAGAAAAGAGGAGTCCTTTGAAGAACGAGACTTTCGACACCGCTCCCAGAGCGGCACAGGGCTTGTTTTTATGTGACAAAAGTATTCCCCTTCCTTTCCAGCCGCCTCCACGGCGATCCAGCGCACTGCCAGCCCCGAGTGAAACCCAAGTCTCCCGCCTGGCAGGGTGGAGCATTCCCTCCGGGCTGCAGCTCCGCTCCGCTTTTCGCCGAACTGCCGCAACTCACTCGAAGTTTTGGGGCGTTTATTTTGTGAAGACAAAAGGAAGAGAAGCAGCGGGACCCACGGCGGGGGCCGGGGCTAGGCGCGATAGCGGCACTCGAGATGTTTACCCCGACTTCGAGCCCCGGAGCCACGCGGGCGGCGCGGTGCCCTTCCCTTCCCTTCCCCGCCTCTCGCCCCTGCACCTCCCTAGGCCGCTTCTCGCCCTCCAGCGCGGCATCCCCCCCGGACCCCCGCCCCGCAGGTGGAGCGCGCCCGCCGCGACCCCCGGAGAGCAGGAGGGAGGGCAGGAGGTAGGGAAGGAGCGCCCCGGAGCCGGAGCCGCCGCCGCGGCGCCGCCGCTCAGCCCCCGCGCAGTCCCCGCGGCGCCGCTCCGCTCCGCGCCGTGCCCTGCCCGGCCGCCGGGCGCAAGGTCACCGCTCCGGCCGCCGGCCAGGGACCGGCCGCGGCTGGAAAGCCCCTACCTGGCAGCGCCGCCGCCACTATGGCGGGCCGCGCCGGGCCACGCCGCCGCTCGGCACTTCCCACCTCCCGCCGCCGGCGGAGCTGCGGCCGCCTCCCGCCTCCTCCTTCCCGGGTCCCGGCGGCGGCCCCCGGGCCCCGCTTACCGCGGCTCGGGGAGAGGCGGCGGCCGCCGACGGGGAGCTGTGTCCGCGCCGCTGCTGCTGCTGCCGCTGCCGCCGCGGCTGCAACAAAGGACTTCCGCCCCGCCGCGCTGCCGTTGCCGCAGCGCCGGCTCCGCCGCGACCGCACGGAGCCGGACCCCTCCCCTCGGCGGCCGCGGCTCCCGGCGCCGCCGCTGCCAGCGCTGCTGCGCCGCCGCCAATGCCGGGGCCCGGCGGGCGGCTCCCTGCCGCGCTCCGCTCTCTTCCCATGCCGCCGGGGACGCGGCGCGGCGTGGGCTGGCGCTGCCGGAGCCCCTCAGCGCGGCTCCTCCCCGACCTCCGCCGGAGCCCCCGGACCCGCGGCGGGGCAGCGTTCGGCTTATCCCACCGAGCGGCGGGCGCCCACCGGGACCCCTCGGCCGGGCCGTCCCGCCTCGCTGCTCTCCCGGCCCCCGCAGTCCGCCCCTTCCCCGCGCACCCGGGCTCGCCGCAGGGAACGGGGAGTCTCCGCTTTGTCCCCGATGCAGCCGTGGCCGGCGCCAGCGGGGAGGCTCCGGTCACCCGTGTGGGTGTACCCGCAGCCCCACGGCCCCCGCGTGGGACAGTTCAACTGCGAGAAAACCACTGCAAGCTGCGTGAGGAAGTATTTCCTTCTCGCTGCAATTTCACACGTTAATACCTCCGCCCTCCCTCCTGGAGCTTCACGGTGATGCAGGAGCACAGGGCCGGCAGCCACCGCCACGCTCCGTCACAGATCCCGAGAACAGCGCTTTTTTTCATCCTTCCAGGAGCTGTTCCAGGCCCTCGTCCCACCAGTGTGTGGACCTCTCCTGTCTGACAACATCCAGCTTCTCCGGAACTATCCCATGTGAGTAAGTGGGATTTCCGGCCCCCCTGCTCTCTGCCGCAGATCTGAGAGAAAACATAAGCCAGGTCAGCCTTTCCTCCAGGTCTTGCCACTTGACTTTTCCGCCCCTAGAGTGACATTTGTTCTTCAGCACAAGCATTGTAAGTGTTTAATCCGCACAACTCCACCATTCAGTTTCTGGAGATAGATACCATTGTTTTTATATCGCTGCAACTGAGATCCTTCTAAGTACCTGACAAGCCAAAGTGGCAAACTTAATCATAGCAAAATAAGAGATTTTATTACAAAATTGAAAATGGTAAAATTAAAAAAAAAAAAAAAAAAAAAAAAGGCAACAAAATAAAATGTCACAATGTTAAAATGTACCAGCATCCATCCCTGCTTCAGTGACCCTGAAGGTTTTCTGGAGGCATCTCTCTTCTGTGTAAGCAAACAGGACAAACCCAACAATACAATCCTAGTTTCCAAATGGAGGATCAGCCCTTTCTTCTGGGTCTGTCTGGGGATTTTCTAACCACTACAGAATAAAAGCGGAGCTTTAAAAATGTCTTTCAGAATGTGTCTAAAAAATCCCCGTTTCCCCTCTCACTCTGCTTGAGCCTTGTCTCAGAGGTACGTAGCAGTGCCAATGGAAAAAAAACTCTGTGGCTGTAAGACACCAGCTCCCACAGAAGATGGAGGGACCCCCACATTACAGCTACTTTGTAGGTTTTCCTGTTTTATAGGAAGTTAAATAAACGGCCTCCATAGGAGTCATGGTTTTCAAATCACACTGAAAAGTTGCTTTTCTCATGGTTCAAGAGTCTTTTTCTCCCCACCTCTTTACACACCTCAAGGCAGCACAAGCCAAGAGCACACAAGAGGGGCTTGTGCAGCCGTTTGCTCTGTCCCATGTGCATCACACGAGGAGCTCCTGCCACCTCCAGTGGGGCACAAGGCTGTCCCCCTTTCTCACCACACCCATTTTCTTACTGCCCTTCCACCACACTTACCTTTCCTATTTACTATTTTTTAAAAATTATTATTTTCTGAGAGGAGGAGGGAGCAGAAACACCCATGGAGAGGGCTGTGATTATGTCCTGATATTTTTTCTGACCCACCAGCATAGGCTGTGTCACTTTGTATTGGCTGTGAGTGATATCATTGCCTGTGTTTTACAGAAAAACACCAAATTTCATTCCTCACCACTGCTTCCATCAGTTTGGCTCTGGTTTCTCTGAAGCTCTTCAAAGTCCTCTTTGGACCAGAGTCAACCTAAATAACATGTAAATAATTAATCATTTAAATAAATAACATGCCACCTGCAAATAGCGACTCGCTCTGTATGCAGGTTAATAAATATGTTAAATAACCCAAAACAGAGTACAAAACCTTGAGCCACCTACTGCCATCCTCTTTTGGGGAAGAAAAGTGGCCACTAATATTTATAGGGGCAGCAGGATTATAGCTCCATGATCTCTCAATTCTGCTGCTGCGCAAACACAGGAGGGAAAGATGGTCCCTGAGTCCTGTGAGCTTTATATTTAAAATTGAAGAAACAAAACATAAGGCAATGGAAAAGATAAAGCTGTGTTGGTCAGTGGGATAAGCAGCAAACACATGGATGAAAATTCTTTGGAGCCTACGGTCTGTCTCTCTCAGCCCATCTGCATCACCCACCCAGGCTCAGGCTGCCTGGAAACAGCCCCCTAAACTGGTGCATTCTGTTGGCCAGGAGCATTATTTGCCTTAAATGTTCAAGAATTGCAGCTATGGGGATGCAAAAAGAAAATGGACTACAAACTATCAAATGCTGAGAGGGAACCAAGAGGAATGATCCGAGGCACTGAGGATCTTCTGCAGAGGCCCTGAGTCAGCAGAGATGCCATGGAGGAGGTGGGTATGACAGATCTTGGAAACTGCACCAAAATCATGACAAAAGCACACAAATAGTGATTTTCACTGCCTTTTCCAGCTGGAAAAACAACCTGTGAACATCAAATTAACCTGGTGGCAGCAGGACGCTGTATGGACTGGACGTTTGAACAGGTTCAGAACGCAATCTGATCGGAAAGACACCTCAGAGGTGGTACTGAGTGCCAGAGCGGAGGGGTCGGGCTCGCCGGGGGAGAAGCCCATCCCTGCCCATCCCTGCCCATCCGTGCCCGGGAGGGGCAGCTGGCAGCCAGGCAATCGCGGCCAAGGGTGGGAGTGCCGCCTGTGCCTCCTCCTCTGCCTGGCACCTCACCCGGCACAGCTGCTCTCGCCTAAAATAACCCCTGGTTTAACATCAGCGAGCGACTGCGGGGGGCCTGACAGAGAAATGGTTCGTCCGCAGGACTCGGGGTGGTTAAAGCAGCTGAGAAACAGAGAGGCTGCCGACATTGGTGAAGAAGCCAGATCCTATCTTTTCCCGGTCTTCCCGGTCAGACCGGGGAAGCTCCTTTTTTTTTTTTTTTTTTTTTTTTTTGTAAAAAACAAAACAAAACAAAAAACCCCAAAGCAAACCAGCGATTAAGAAGCCGAGCCCCCCCAGCCCAGGCTGATGCCTTTGACAACGCACGGCAAAAAAACCCACAAAAAACCCCACGCTCCTTCCCTCCCTCGCACAGGAGCAGCGCGGGCAGCGCCGCCCGCAGCCGCGCAGGGGCCGCGCCCACCGCAGCGCCGGGCCGCGCCGGCGTTTCCCGGGAGAAGCCCATCCCTGCCCATCCCATCCCGGCCCTGCCCGGCCCGGCAGGAAGCGCGGGGGGGCAGCGCCCACCCCATCCGCCGGGCGGCAGCGGGGGCGGGCGGTGCGGCGCTTCCGCGGGTGAGCGGCTGCGCGGGCGCGGGGGAGCCGCGGGGCCGGGCCCGGAGCGGGGGAGGGAACGGAGGGAAGGGAAGGGAGGGGAGGGCGCTGGTCCCGCGCTCGCCGCCTCCCGATGCGCGTCGTGTCTCTCCCACCCCCCCCCCCCCCGCAATAATTTTCTGCGGAAACAATAGCAAATATCAGCGTTTATTTGCGCAGGGGCCGCTGGCGGGGCGGGGCGAGGCGAGGGCGGCTCAGCCCGCACAATGGGGGCTTTGTTGGACGCACAGGGCTCCTCTGTGCCGGCGCCGCCGGGCTCTGCCCCGCTCCCCCGCGCTCCCGCCGCGGCTCCCGGGCAGCAGAAAGCACCGTCAGATCAGAGGGGAAACGCGAGCCGGGTTTAAAGTTAGTGCTGACACCCCGCCGAGCGTAGTTAATCAGCGGGAGAAGCGTCTCTGAGTGTAGCTAGCAGGTGGGAAAGTCCTCGAGAGGTCTTGAGATCATCGGTGGTGGGTTTGAGCACCAGCAGTGGTATCAGGAGAAGCTGTTAAAAAGGGGTGCAGGGGCTATCTGGAGGAGGGAGGAGGCTCCATGCCAGGCGTCCATCTCGTTTCGGTGGTGAGAAGTCAACATTTGAGCCTTTGGGAGCTCTCTGATTTCCTAATGAGATGAACATCTTGTTCCCTTGCTCCCAGGCACACCATGGATACCACCGGCCACAGCGTCCTCCTCCTCCAGCAGCTGAACATGCAACGGGAGTTTGGCTTTCTGTGTGACTGCACAGTTGCCATTGGAGATGTTTACTTCAAAGCCCACAGAGCGGTGCTCGCTGCTTTTTCAAACTATTTTAAGATGATATTTATTCATCAGACGAGGTAAGAACGCACAGCTCTCCTCTTATCCTTTTACCACTCTCAGCATTCTGCTTTTTCTTCCTTCTAAAGGTATAAAAGTCTGAAATTGCGTACAAATGGGGATGTTAGGTGGCCTGAGATTATTTTCCTAACCCAGCACAGGCCTTGACTCTCTAAACAATCCCGGTCCAGAAAGCACCGCCCTTTAAAACCACTTTCTTAGTCAGCATATGGCAACATCAGACCCTGCATTTTGGAGATGAGGCATTTGTGTGACCGGATAAATAAATCGTGTAAGTACCATCATCTTCCTGCAGTGAGAGCCCTGCAGATTTAGAATCCAGGGATATCGTGGCACCTCCTGCCCATGTGCAATATGTCCAGTACTTTGCCTTAGGTTGTTGTCAAGCTTGCTGGGCGAGACTGTCATTTTTGGCAGTATCCACAGGCTTGAAACAATTGCGAAGCTGTGGCCTTATCACAGTTCTGTGCTTCAGATTCTTGGAGATAAGGGCTGAGACTGAGATCATCAATTGATTTCAAGCTGTTGTTCACATGCTTCACCTGGCCAGGTCAGGAGTGGTTCTGCAGGTATAACAAGAGCAGTGTCATGGTCTGGCCTCTGACCTGGGGCTGGCTGCTTGTGATAGATTAAACATTCTTCATTCCCCTTCATTTCTGAGGGTCGTGGCCACCAGCACCTCTGCAAGATAATCTTTAGGATCAGCTGCATCGCCCCTTGGCTGGAAGTGAGATGAGTTAACTGCCCTTCCCTGTGGATGTTGTTTGCTGACACTTAAGTGCAATACTCATAAAGATTACTCAGATAAATGGAGTGGCACACACTAGTGATGCACAGCCTGCATGGCATCGCTGCGGTGCCGTGTGCTGCAGCTGGCTCTGCATGGGAGGGATGGGGTGGCCAGGGCTGGTCACTCGCGCCAGCCTCAGCTGCAACTGTGCACATGGTCTTCAGAATCACAGGGATAAACGCAGACTTAGGCACTTGGCTTTGCCTACAAAGCTTCTGCACTTCTGCAGGGCTTGGCAGGGAGCGCTGCTTGTAAAAGTGCTCTTACAGCAAATGGGCAGGTAATGGATCAGGATTTGGAACCCTGTATGTACTTAATCATCTGTTTTGTTTCAGCGAGTGCATAAAAATTCAGCCTACAGACATCCAGCCTGACATATTTAGTTACTTGTTACATATAATGTACACTGGGAAAGGGCCAAAGCAGACTGTCAGCCAGAGCCGGCTGGAGGAGGGCATCCGCTTTCTGCACGCAGACCACCTCTCCCACATCGCCATCGAGATGAACCAGGCCTTCTCCCCAGAGCCGGTCCAGTCCTCCAACTTGTACGGGATCCAGATCTCCACGGCGCACAAGCTGGCAAAGGAGCGCCTGGGAGCGAAGGAGAGCCTGCCCAAGGCGGGCGGCCGGTCTGCGGCCCAGGGCGATCACCCCCAGCTGCAGCTGTCCCTGGCCATCGGCCTGGACGACGGCCCCCTGGACCAGCAGGTCGCCCGCCCCTCGGCCCAGCCCGCGGCTCTGGCCAAGCCGGCCGAGGAGCGCCCGAAGCTCTCGGTTTCCATAAAGCAGGAGAGGTGCGACTCGGAGCCCGTGGTGTCCCAGAGCTGCACCCCTCCTTCTCCAGAGGTAGCGAG